CACTCTCTGGTACAAAATTCGAAGCGGGAAATACGTGGGGTGTTAAGAAAGTGTTCTTGTACTTGTGAATGCTACAAAGTCCCCATGGGTCTACAGAATATCATATCATCACCGAATAACTTATACCCTTCGGATGTGCTATAAGTCGCATCAAGTACCGAAGTATGTTTTTCAACAAGGCTGCTCACGACATAAGGATATAGTAAGTTTCAGTGGTGAAAGTGTGCTTGTGCTGTCTCCAAAGCGGTGATCTCCATCTAAATTGATGAAATACTGATAGCGTAATGTGACAAGGTGATGTTTTACGAAAACAAAATGTGAAAAGGCTCCGTGTCATTTGCGTCCAAGAAAAAAAGATCCACTATCGATTGATTACTTTCAACCAGTGCCAAGCAAATTAGCACTGACACGAGAACAATCTTTTGAAGTTTATATTATATCTGCGTGGATAGAATAATTGATGACATACCACCACAAAGAAACCCAAATTTGCCAGTCCTTCTGAAGCACTCTAATAACAATTGAAACAAATCACAAAACAAATGACGAATGAATAGCGCACCGATCAACAAACCTGTGGGGTTTCCCAATTCTCAGGAGTGAGCACCAGGACGCACTTGTCAACGTCAAAGATGTCCCCTCCGGCCAGATTGAAGATATCGACGTACACGATTTCAGTTGGCTTTTCCAAAAGGCGTGCCTCGAAAAACTCGATTTCGGGTTTGCCGCTCACGGTAATTGTATCGTGTGTGGTCACCAATACCTAAAGTGTACGAGGACGTAGCAGTCGCATCTTAACGGGGCTGTGTTATCATTCAGATCACAATGCATATGCTGCTGTTTTTGCGCTTTACAAAACTGACGTATGGAGCTCATGGTGCGGTGCCAGACATTAGTTAAAGTGACAGGTAGAGTGTCGTAAAGAGAGACATATAGATTCTCATACGAAGTAGCCATCAAAAACGCCTAGAATTAGCAAAGCATCCACTGATGAGATGCAAACGTGTGTATCAAATATATGCTACATTAACTGGGCTTATTTGACTCGATTTGTACGGACGTGAACAATCGTTATCATACCTCTGCAGTCATACTCGGTACCATGTACTCAGCTGGGATGTTCGATACTCCAGAAGCACCCGGCGGCGTCCATTGCATTCGAGCAACCATACCTCCAGTATATTCGTAAAAGTTGACCTCCATGGAGCGTACGGATCCAGCCTCCATTTAAAATGCCGAGCACTTAGATACGCACGAAAAGAGAATTTGAGTTCTGAAAACGTCTTGTTCAAGGCTAATACACAGCCTTAATAAATGGCATTTAAATCGAATTCAATACGTATCAATTTATATAGCTGAAGGAATGTATTATAAACGTCAACAATAGCAGTTTTATAGTACATTCGGCAATGGCAGAGCCCGTGAGACACGGCAGTGTAATAATACGTCAAGCTTGCGACATGGATACGAGAACAAATTTACGCCCATACCTGTCATTTATTCACAACATCTGTCCGCAGATGCTCAGCCTATACAAAAAGGGGATAAACAAGATCAGCACATAGAATAAGGATCAAAATAAACGAAAAATATCTCACAAGGTTCACTTGGTTAAATACATACTGTTGCCCTCTCTTTGTCGATCGGGGTGGCAGCCATAATCGCTCGCAATAAGCTTGGTATTCATGTATATTCTCATGCCATCATCTGCGTATATGTATATTGTGTAGCTTCCTGTACACGGGAAGATCATCCTGAAATTCCAACGGATGAAGACTCTTTCGATCATTTCTGGCGCGCTGTAATGAAATCCTTGCGGATCAACGTTCCCCTAAGTAAGAACAGAGAATTAATGCGTTAGCTATAAATACTTTGAAGGGTGATGTTAGAATCTCGACCTGCCTGAAGCATCACTACGTTATCTCGCACATGGGAGAAATAAATAAGAAGCTAATCAATAACAAGCGGATGTAGCCAAGTAGTTATCAGTGTGTAGTTCACAGTATATATTCACATTAACAATATACCAAGAAACACGAAAGAAGCGCCTGAAACTTACCCGTAAGCCACCGATCACATTGAAGTTGACTCCTGTGGCATCTACACGGTCATAGTGTATGTGAGCCAGATTTGGATTGGGCTGGTTGTTACCACACCTGCTAGCATCTGAGTAGTCTGGGTAATATTGGCCGTAGGCTCCCCGTTCGGTACTGCCAGTACTGCAGGTGATTAAATCCATGTGATGCGTGTGCAAGTGCAAGCAGTGCTAAGATGCAACGCTCTGAGATTGAACAGTGCATCGTTTGTAAGACCGAGTATTTTTTAAATGTATGATACTCTTGACTAGCTAGTAGGTATCTGTGTACACACACACAGACGAGGTTATCACATCTAAGGTGAAAGACGAAAATTTTGTATTTGCTCATATATATACGGATACCCCAAACTTCAGATTCACGTTTGACAGGAGGTCAGACATAGCCTCCCTAAAATTGTCAATTTAGAAGGCTGTGAGGTTAAATAGAGGTGTGAAGAACAAGAAAACCCTAAAAGTTGGCTAAAACATAAAATAAATATAGGCTTTCTCTCTACTCTATTAAAAAAAAAGAGTTCTCTCGCTCTCGGTATTTACTCTCTCTCTCGCTCGCTCTCTACTCAGTAGAAGTGCTAGCTACAGAAACTCTACTAGAGTAGTCGTCTCTCTCAGAGAGAGGTCTATTACTAGTAGTATTTAAAAATAATATTTTTAAAAATAGAGCTAGTACTGACTATTGAGTAGAGAGGATGGTTTGGGCTGGGCCCTGAGGGCTGCCGCTGAACATCTGAAGGCCTGCCGCCTGACTGCCTTATGTTAGAGGCTCTGAGTCTGCGGCCTGAGGCCTGAGCCTGTCTCGAGACTCTGAGGGAGGCTAAATAAATACTATTTAACCCCAAGAAGAGGAAAAATAAGTATTGGTTTTTTAGGTTAAATACTTTTTTTTAATTATTTAAATATTTATTTATTATAAAATTACACCAGAATTGGAATAGAATTCTAAAAACAACAACATTGTTTTATTAAAAAAAAAAGGCAATTTTTAAAATAAAACTAAAGAGTTGTTCTTGGGTAAACGGTATATATATAATTATTTTTTGATCAACAACAAAATAGAAAAAAAAATATGGTTTGTTTTTTATGAAAGAAACGAAAACAATTGTATGCAGGCAGATGGATTCCAGACTCCAGACTCTAGTTTTCCACGTGATTCAAGATTCGATATTTTCTAAAAACAAATTTTTCCTAAAACCTGGTGGTAAAAAATATAACCGAGAAAATAACGAAATATTTAGTAAATAAATATACGTTTTCACTTTGCAGGTCTCTTTGCTGTATTACTTGTTGGAATTAGACTACATAACCAGTCTGGGACTGGGAGTGGGAGACCCATCGCTCATCAGTCCATCACTCAAGGCCAAGACCCAAGACCCAAGTCCCAACTGAAGTCTGAACTCTCTTAATTCCGAAGCTCCTCTCTGACTCTTCTATCAAGCGTACTCTTTCATCCTCAGTACAGAGTCATAACTACTAAGCTACGTCTTATGGTTGGTTATGAATTAAATAAATATTCAAGAAATAAAGTGCTGAAACTCAAAAGTCTGAAACAGAATCAAACATTATGTCTGCGGGGGCCAGGCCCGGGGGGATGTTTTCATATATATCTCACCCCGGTCAAGAGTCAACCACCCGGCAGCCGTTCTGGTTCAGGCGTCAGTTGTCTTTTGTTTGTTTCCAAAAATATTATTGTATATTGTCATTTTGTGGATTCAGAATATTTCACTGTCAGATTGGCTGTGCTTGTAAAAAAAACGCAGTAAAATGCGATGCTTTTTTTTTGGTGTTTTAACAAAATAGGATTTTGAAATTAAAAGAATGGTAATTATTTTGGCAATAAAAGGTTAAAACAAAGAGGAACAGTGCGCCGGTGGCTAAACCGCACTGCATTTTTTTTCGTATTGTCGGGCGCCTCATCCCAGTCACTCCAAGGAGTACCGAACTACACTCGTCCCTGTACCAGCAAGATGTACTTTTTAAAGTGATGATCGTCGACTCACTTGGCCCAAGCTTCAAACGGGAATTTATTGACCACTTCTTCCCATCGATCTTTTCCGAACCACTACAACGGCTATGAGAGCCATACCATATGTTCATACATTGTAACATACATACATTGCAACTCACCTTTTTCTTGAAATAAATAATATTATCCCTATTATTGAAACCTCGACCCAGCATGTCAATAATGCTGTCAGTATCATCGTTTAGCTCAATATACACGACAGTACGTATATAGGTTCCTGCTGTACTTCTGGTTTCTTGCAACAATGCCCACAGTGCTCTCAGTCCCGATTTCAGGGAAGAATTGGAGCCGTATGCTAGTCTCAAGGGGCAGCTCCTTCAGGCCCTCGCGGTGTATATGACTACTTGAGATTGCACCGGCATTGAACCAGGTCATACGAAGGCTGTTCATGGGCAAATCTGCCGTACAAATTCAGCCCTGCATTGCGTGACGTAGAAGGCTGACATCTTCGTCCTGCCTGCACATCTTATCGCTGGCGTTTGATGCGCATAGCAGGCGACTATTCCCCATTATGTGGAACCCTACACCAGACGAATTCTCAGACATGACATGGACTGATCAGAGAATGCCGCAAAGGAACGGCGTGTTGTGCCGACCTGTTGACTGAATTCATCTCGTCATTACCAATCGAAAAGTAGCGGTGACGGACACCGACATGGAACCGGTCGACTTCGCGTCCTTTCTGAAGAGCCCAATTGTGGCTCCGACTGATGTAGACACTAGCAGCACGCCTCAATTGTCAGCCACCAAGCTCACATTTGGGCAGCCTGCAAAGGCCGCCACAATGGTATACCAGGTAGTCAACAAAAATCAGCGAGCACAACAAGAGTTTGTGGTAGAAGCAGCTCGCAATTCCGCACTACAGGCGAAACTCTACGCAGTAGTCCCGATCTCGTGTAACCCCGAAGAGGAAGCGCAACTAGACAAAATGGTACATTTTGTGGTCGCCGAGGCGGCAGCCCAGTTATGAATCTTGTACTAGTTACTGATCCGGTTGCACGAAAACTAATTTACTTGATGTCCATTTATCCCAAACTTGAGAAGTTCTTTATAAGTCTCCAGCACGCTGCAGACGAGGTAGGCCTCTTCGTACGTGAGATATTCCGCGTTACACTTTATGCCCCTTCCATATCTACAACTTGTGAATTTAATGGGCTCTCAGGCACCTTTGGCGCCTATTGAAGGGGTTTGCCAACGACCAGTCACAGCCCGCCTCGACAATCGTATCAATGAATCCACAGGACAGCGTGACCCAGGCCTCAACGGTGGACTTACCCGACGATGACAGCGTCACCAGGCGAATATTCAGCGCATTCAGCGCCTGCGCAGTAGTGCTCATGACTAAGATCACAACGATCAAGCACGTCTCGACCAGAGTGACAGAGGTCACACACAAAACGATAGAGTCGCAAACCGCAAAAAAAAGGAACTTGCCTAATAGCAATGATATAGCACCTCTGTCAGTTGACTAAGCCTCTGCTTCTGCCACGTCTTTAACATCGGCATCGGCGGACAAGCCGGCTGTCAAGAAAGAGGAACAAACGACATGCTATAACTGGCTCGATTCTGGACCGCAGATGATAAGGAAAGTGCATTTAAGCACGACTGGTCGATAGTGGATGGATGGATGTACCCACTTTGGGAATTGATACACAAAGTGCTTAGGAATATTTTACTAAAGTATGTATTATTAACACTTATGGTACTGCGAATGAAAATACTATTTACCACAAAAGTTGTTCTTCTTTTGGGCTGATTCTTACATCTTGCAGACTAGCTTCACGGGACAGCCATTACTTCCCCACCCTACGCCGAGACCAGCAGGGCGCACAAAATAACGATATGTAAAATCCTCTCGTAAGTAAGATCGAATTTAAAATGTACTCTCTTTTATTCTGTCGAAGTAGAGGATTTAACCTTTGTTGTTGTTGGCCATCGTATCAGGGAGCTTGTACCTAAAAAAACCCTGAAACCCTGCAAACCAAAACATGTACAGTTCTTTAACAGGAGCCTAGATGCTTCGCAGCGTAATTATACTACAAAGCGGGAATTATTGGCAATATTTTTGGCTTTCGAGTTGTCTAAAGTCTACCTATATGGTACACACTTTAATATGGCATGTCATCAAAAGTCTTCAGTATATCCATCATCTTGTCGATACCCGATCATACATGGCTTTACGTGCGTTTAGTATTGCATTGCAATACGAAACCTGCTGACCCCTGCATCCAAGAGACCTAAGGTGCCTACATAGATCGCTCTCGTGAGATGTGAGCTAGATATGGCCTTCATTGGGCAGACAGGTGATAGTAAAACTTTTCAAGATTAGCATATTTTAATATTCAGTACATATGTTCATTCGATATCGTTGAGGCTGTCTCACCATAGTATGCCTGTGTAGCCGATTGATAATTGAGACAATTTTTCTGAGTTATACTCATTTAGTCTGGCATACCACTATTGACAACACGACAACCTTTGTATTGACGAGTCCAAGATATATTTATAGAGTGAAGGTGCCATGGATAGGCCTAGCTTCGGCCACCTGGCAATCATGCGCGAGTGTCATACCAAAATATGATTTCTTCGTGGTGTTGCGCATACTGGCCAGAAGTAATGTAAAATGTATGCACAACTTTTCAACGCCGGCAACATACAGTATCCTGCAAATCAGCCACGCAAAGGGTAACATCAGCGGAAGTATTGTAGTTGGATATCTGAGTGTGCGATACTTCCGTCGTAGAAGCTACACATGGGCGGTTTGGCTAGAATACTGAAGTATACAGAGTACTTGACACGCAGCCGCAATATGGCACAGTGCAGGGCACGTGGTAGAAGGTAATAGTGCTTTTAGCACTTTATCGCAATACCATGAATTTCACGATTTATAGACGCGACCCATTTCCTCAGAACTTCAGTACTGATCGTTCTGAAAATGTAGAACACGCCTGCATTGGGACTCCTCGGATGACACTTCACAACCGCTTTTTGAATAGATCTGTGATATGTAAGAAGGTGGTATCTGCAAAGACTATGTAGGAAGCATCATGGTCAGAACGGCAATATCTCGCTACAAATTTTATTAGAAGGGAGACAAGTGTTTCACTTTCTGAAGGCAATACAAAGCCAAATAGGAGTGGCCCAAGTGGTCTGATACATCTAGGAAATTTGCCATTCGATATTCACTTTATTTATTTCTGAATACCTACAATCCATCCCAGCATTTCGCTGATTTTATACCGTTGTTCACCCGATGAGACCGGAAACATATGCGTGAGGCAACAGTAGGCCATTATACCGACAGTTGATCGAAGTCTGTCGATCCGTTTATCATACGGCGGGAACAAACGTGATACCATACCAGCTTTACGATACCAATAGAATACCTTAGGGATAGCTTCAGCTTTTCGAGTACCGTCAAATAGATATATGGTATATCGGCCTGTCATCCATCGGACTATCACGTTTATCCGTGTAAGCTCCGTATACTACTCATACTCCGCCATTGTGTTAATTTTGAACTACAGCAATGTAATTATTTCGAGGAGGAATTGTCTAGCTTTGCGAGTCCCAAACTTTCTGCGAGCAGAATTTCCATATCGGCTTTGTTATTACCACCACCTGTATCAGGAGGAAGCAAATTGATTCCGTAAGTGATGGAAAGGAATTGATCATCCTCGACTAATTTAATCGTGTCAAGATCGTACATACAAGGCAACGATCTCGTTGATACGTTTGTAAAATCAACATATATATATTGCTCTTGGATACTCAAGTGCCTGGAAAATATGGGTATCATTATACACTCATTATATGGAAATATTTTGTTTTCGATGTAAAACTCCCAATTTCCGGTCAACAGATAGCAAGCCCCCGCCTCCCGTTCACAATCGCCGACAGGCCTACACACAGTATGTTGGCTGTAATCTAGTGTATAAAAATAGCACACCCCTAATCTTGAGCTAATTTGCACAAGTTATCGTTACCCAATGCGACAGTGCATACCTGATTTGTCGCCTTTCATTTGCTGATCGAGTGCTAATTTAGTATTCGCCAGGTGCAATATGGCTTCATCGATGGTGTTCTTTGCCACCAACTTGATCACTTTCACAGGTCTATACAGAGATGGGTGCGGGCAATTAAAGATAAGAATATACTGGAGAAATCGTCGAGAGTATTTAGTTCTTGCCCACAATTTGATCGCCTTCACAGATCAACAAAGGAATGTGTGTATTTTGTTCATGGCGAGAATATACTACAAAAAATCGTCAAGTTATGAATTATCATCAATGAGGTGGACGTATCAATTCGGGTGAGGCATTATTATAGAGAAATCTGCATGGCCTATATTGGAGTCTCATTAATAAGAAGAGTCTTTTGCCTCAGACTTAAGTCACATCAAAAAGTCAGTGATAGTGTGCGTGGCTATTTGAGCAAGGAATGCCTAGCGAGGTATAGCTCGACTCATAATCGAATATTGTTCGAAAGCACGCAAATCAAAATCTTTGAAATATGGTATGATGGATAAGATTCGTTGTTTTGCTTAGAATCTGTGAGGATTCAATCAATACTTATATACAAGCATAATTATTGATATAGGTAGATGTGCATATTTCGGTGTCTAGTTTGATGTTCGATTGAGTTTATTGATGACAAGAAGTGTAGAGTAGAAATCAATACTTATATACAAGCATAATTATTGATATAGGTAGATGTGCATATTTCGGTGTCTAGTTTGATGTTCGATTGAGTTTATTGATGACAAGAAGTGTAGAGTAGTATGCGTGTGTATTTAACAAGAAAGCTCTCACATTGAACGTATTGATACGCACACCCATTTATGTACATTTTGAACGACGAACGTTGTGCACAACACAAGTCAAAGCTTGAATACATTCATATTACCTTTTACTTCAGCATGGACAAGGTTTGATCATACACATTATGAGCAAGAAAGTGAGTCAATGATACACATACTTGCGTAGCTACAGGTATACATCCCCTTGATTGTACTATAATCATTCCGTGGGAATAGACCATTGCAGACAACATGATACTTTTGCCCACGAAGCTTTCCAGCACACACAGCGATCACACGCATGCTTCGCCTTCAAGCAGGCAAACGCAGCAGATACACGAAACGATAGTTACTATATATATATATATTCATACATATATACATACTTACTAAACGATAGTCACTATATATATATATATATATAAATCACACACACACACATTATATATATATATATATTATATACATATATATATATATATATTATATATACATATATATATTATATATACATATATATATATATATATGTATACATATATATATATGTATACATATATATATATATTTATATGTAAACATTTATACATATATACTATAAAACATATACATAGACAAACATACACACACATACACGCACACACACACATATATATATATACATGCATATATGCGTATAATATATACACATGCACATATATCTTACATTCGGTGTGATTCGATAGCTTAATATAAATCAGTGTATCGGCTATGATTGTTGAAATTACCTGGTTTGACCCACTCTATGGGCGCGATCCTCCGCCTGCCTATCGTTGTGGGGGTTGTAATCCATGTCATGCAGGATTACAGTGTTGCTAGCTGTTAGATTGATACCCACACCACCTGCCAAGGAAGCACGCCAACAAGATGTGGAGCCAAATAAACCAAGTTTAGTACGAGTTTACACCAGTACCGCGGCATTGGCTAGGAGAGTTGAAGCGATTATGGAACAATCCATCAGAAAGTACAGAATAAGTGTAGAGGTTGGCGGAGAAAATCAAATCTGTGGACAGTCTTGGCATCGAATATTGCCTAATTTCACAATGCATCGTCTGCACGGCAAACTAGATAGAGATATCTCCATCTGGTATATCCAACCCAAACCTTGTACATCAACAAGGCAGATACAAAATTAAGACTGGATCTTCTTGTACTTGTTAGAAACAGGTATATCCATCACACAATACTATGGTATGCTAACACAACTACGAATCGAGTGCTCATTCTCAAATATACGACGCATTTCAGCGTGCGGATAGGGTAAATATCACCAGAAATTGGCTTTTGTATTCGTCTTTTCATTATCTGGCATACAAATATGGTAGGCATTTGAACCATCTCGATATTTTCTACCAATCTTGAAATACTATAACAATATTCTATGCACAATAATGCCAATTTTCAAGCACCCCTACATACCTGCTCGGGTTGATAGCAGAAACACCAAAATGTCTTCGTTCTCATCAAATTCATCGATCAAATCTTGCCGTTCACTAACAGCGGTCTGGCCGTCTAAGCGGAGATACCTGAATAAGCCGATATACAAACCGAAGTTTTGAGATTATAATCCGCAGTTGAAACGCAAATATACCTGAATAATTCGGAATTTGGCGGATCAGAATATACAGTAACCAGAAGCCAAAAACTGAACCACAAGCGGAAAACACACCCGAAAACACTTGTTTACTCGGAGTCAGTTCAACAACGTGGTACATAAGCGCTGAACTGACATTATGGGTGCGGTCCGGTGAAAATAGATCCTATACGCATACATGATTCAAAGCTAAACCCTAAACCCCTAAATTAAATATGGAACTAGTTGGCCAACGGGGTCCTTACAGTCCCTTGATGGTCAAAGTACGGACACACTCGGATAGCAAACAGAACTTAACTAGTTAGTAAACTATCGACCCAAAACGTGCCTCCAAACAACAATCCAACACAAATCATCGCTGTCCTAATTATTTGGGAAACAAACCCGATTTGACGAGTTCCAAAAAGGACCCTGGATACACACATATAGCAAACAGCACTCAACGTGTTCCAAACTATCGACCCATAAAGTGCCTTCAAGCAACCCAACACAAATCTTCACCGCCCAAAATTGTTTGGAAAACGCACCCGATTCCGACGTGTTCCAAATAGTCTTCCAAGATGTCCAGCATCACTGCAGTGCGGAGATGACAGCGTCAAAGGAAGGTAAATCGATTTAATACCAGAATAACATCTTTAATCGGCATCATAATAATACAAACAAGTCTGTCTGCGAGTTTACATTTATGACAAGATAAAAAATGATACAGACCAGTCCAGCAGAAAACATCTACAATGGGCATCATAATAATACAAACAAGTCTGTCTGCGAGTGTACATTTATGACAAGATAAAAAATGATACAGGCCAGTCCAGCAGAAAACATCTACAATGGCCATCATAATAATACAAACAAGTCTGTCTGCGAGTGTACATTTATGACAAGATAAAAAATAATACAGACCAGTCCAACAGAAAACATCTACAATGGGCATCATAATAATACAAACAAGTCTGTCTGCGAGTGTACGTTTATGACAAGATTAAAAATGATACAGACCAGTCTAGCAGAAAACATCTACAATGGCCATCATAATAGTACAAACAAGTCTGAATGCGTGTGTACGTTCAAAACAAATTAAAAAAATGATACACACCAGTCCAGCAAGTTCCAACTACAATTCCATCAATGAATACCGATTTTTTTTACTATGTCTCTTGAAATTTGAAACATAAAAGAAACATTTAAACCGAAGCCATTCATGTACACTACACTCGGGTCCTCGAGAGCTTACCCGTAAATTGACTGAAAAGAAGGACACGATCACCGCGCTCCTTCATCTTTGGCAAATGCTCCCCCAGCCACGTGAGTTTCGCCGAGGAATGCCTCACTTCGTCGTCCAATTGATACTTGGCTAGCCTCTGCGGACCATCAGAGTGGGTATTAGGGCTTTAGGGTTTAGGGTTTTAGGGTTTTACATGAGTTTCGCCGAGGAATGCCTTACTTCGGTGTCCAATTGATATTTGGCTAAGCTCCGCGTACTATCAGAGTGGAAATGAGTACTGGGATATCTTATGAAGTGCATGTCAATTGTTAATTCTATCTAATGTTTCGGTTGACAGTTCAGATGCAGTTGATACTTGTGGCAAAAGGCCCTGCATCAATGTCATATTGAGAATAGGCCGAACGATGGGTATTCAGAGATTGAGAAAGAGTTAGAAACCATACACAGGCACACAGGTACATGCACATGGACAAACACAATATCTAACACGAATATATGCACGTGACCCCTCCCCACACTTTCATACACACGCACACGTATATGCACATGCACACACACGCACACGTACATGTTCCACACATGTGCATACACACAGCATATATGCATGGGACACACACATGCATATATGCATGCACACACACACGCGCATATAAGCATGTACACACACCCACATACTTGTGCATTCCCACACTGGCACATACATGCATACATAAAATATTGGCATAACATAACATATAGGCATACATACCGGGTATTTGACGCAGAGCGTGTGTATTTGGAAGTCGGACATGAAAAAAAGTTCCTCTTGGATGTGCTCCACCTTTTTCCCCTCGAACTCATCCTCCTGTGACAAGTTAAAAGTTAAAAGCTTAAATGGTTAAAAGGTTAAAAATGACGGTTGCGTACATACTATCTGCAGGCATACACAGCCTGTACTACATACAGTTGTGTACATACTATCTGCAGGCATACACAGCCTATACTACATACAGTCATGTACATACTATCTGCAGGCATACACAGACTTACACAGCCTGTACTACACACAGTCGTGTACATACTATTTGCAGGCATACACAGCCTGTACTAGATATAGTCGTGTACATACTATCTGCAGCCGCTGCGCCAGTTTGAAGCACAGGTCGTCGCCGTAGTGTGAGCGGTGGAGTGTCTCGTGGTTGGCCATTTTGCGCAGCTGCATCATCACATTCTGGATCTGCTTGGTGTCCGTCGACTCCTCTGTGATACGGTAGTATTGTGTGATGTGTTTAATTAGCAAGCGATGTATTTATTTAGCAAGTGATGTGCTTATTTAGCAAGCGATGTGTAAATTTAGCAAGTGATATGTTTTTTAATACGTGATATGGCAGGTGTGTGCTATTCTCAATCTTTCTTTCACGGAAGTATTCTGCATGAAGTGTCGTCTGTATCACCCTCAGTGCAATACCACGCTACAATGTAGTGTTGTGTGTATCTAGTGGTCACTATTACCATCACATTCTGCATCTGCTTGGCGTCTGTTGACTCTTCCTATGCCGTGGCACTATTGTGTGCTATGTTTACTTATCAAGTTAAGTGTCTAATCTCGATACAACGTTGGAATAAGTGAGAAACTAACATTGTGAAAGTGTGAATACTCAGCACATGGATCTCACTAGCAGGCCCTATTGCACCTAAAACCCTACTACGAGATATACACACACACACACCCACATATATAAATATAATATTAATAATATAATAATATATATAATAGTATAATAATATAATAATATATATATATAATAATATAATAATATATATATATATATATAATATATATATATAATGATATATAAATATATGATAATATAATACTATAATAATATATATTATAATATAATAATAATATATATATATAATAATATATATAAATATAATAATATAGCTATATACTAATATCAATATCATAAAAAACTTAAATCCCATCCAAAATGCAGCCACAATCTTGATATGATCCAAAGATTGCATCCATACAATTCTGGCCACGGTGTTCCGTTATAAATCGTATAATTTTTTTTTTTTGGCTAAAATTCAATCTTGAATCTGATATTGCTGTCCAGCCATTCAACAGCACTACCATACAACGGACGAATGACACCATTGCGCTTAATGAGATACGATTCTTCACAAAAAAATAAATAAATCAAAATGATACCTATGATACAGCTTGCAATCAGTCCACAAGGCCTGGGTATGGCAAACGGTATCAATCGTAGGAAAAAACCAATACACTATTGTGATATATACGCATATGGTGTATAGCGTAGGTAACATAGCCGTGTTTGTTTGTTTTTGGCGTGGGACTTTTTCTTTTGTCTGGTGTCTCGAATACAGAAGAGATCAAAAAACCTATTGCTGAGGCAAAACTGAGCATACATAAGCCGTTGCTGCGTCTGCCTACGCTCATACATTGGACTATGTGACTACCCAGCACGGCACTAGCGGACATACACAACTCGTTGACACAGTACACTTTCAGTGTCTACCTTCAATGATCTTTACGCTATAACACACATTCAAAAGGCACAGGTGCCCATACGCAACCAGTCCACACAGGTTAGCTTCAACGATACGGTATGCATACATGATACATATTCACACGGTGCAAGGGAGCGTACTCTGTTCACGGATCTCGTTGACCAGGTCGGCGTATAGTTCTTTTTGATTGGCTTCCATTTCGCAGAATTCAATGTGCGTGGTCTTCTTGGGCAAATCCCCCAGGACCTGTAATAGAGTACGATCCACAGAGGAATCAGAAAGAACATAGGTATGGTTAACTAATCAGTAGCTATACACGTACGCTGAGTAAGACATAGGCATACATACATATATACATACATACATACACACACACACACACCATATAATATATACATAAATACATATTTATATATATTTATGAAAATGCACGCGAATATATCTATATCTACATATATGTACAAGTAAGTATATAGAAGCAGCTCACACTCACGTCTTTTTTCAGCCTTCGCAGTACAAACGGCTTCATGATATTCCGCGCGCGTTTGACAATATCCATTTCTGGACCAAATTCGGTCTCTTCCTCCAATTCCAATGAGTACCGCGATTCTAAAAATAGAACAGAAAGTATATCGAATTCAATACAAATGTATCGTAAAAACATATACTAAGTTGAAAGCAGCGGTGCAATAGAATTTGAACTGGATCATGAGAAACACTTATCAACACGCATGGGAGATACTGTGCGGTGTGCAACCGATGACAATGCGACCGTATTAGTATATATATATATATCTATATCTACACACACACACTTATATATAAATATATATATATATATATCTATATCTACATATATATATATATATATATCTATATCTACATATATATATATATATATATATATATATTACCGTGTACACATACACAAGCACAGACACATTTACACACGCACAGACACATACAGACAAGTACACTAGACACAGACACAGGCAAATACATTCGCACACAGACACAGGCAAATACACTCGCACACACGATTAAGAAGCAACAGAACCATAGACCAATAGAAGCAGGGTGCTTAGTGTCACACAAATTCAGCGCAACATGGCCCAAAGATACAGTGTACAGGAAAGACTGATTGGTCTATATATGTTGTATTATGCACATTTCACAGGTGCAGCCACAAATTCACGCTAAAATGGACGATCTGATTGGTGAAAATTAAACATGTGCTTATGGATGCGTTCTGATGGGCGCGCGCGCTCAAGCTTGCGTCAAAGACGTTTCTGATTGGTGCAAACACACATACGTTCAAAGGATACGATCTGATTATCACACACGCACACTTACGTTTAATGTTACGATCCGATTGGTGCAAACGCCCACACAGCTACACACACACACACATACGTTTAAAGATGCGCTCCAGTGTTTCGTAGCTGGCTGTGAACATGGTGGGCATGATGAAATTGAGAAGAGATATCAACTCCAACAAATTGTTCTGCAACGGCGTACCTGTCAGTAGCACACGATGTCTGGCCTAAGGGTGAGGGAGAGGAGAGCGTCAGACAGGCAGGGAATGCAGCTATTGGTGGATTGATACAGATATGTAACTACATATAGATGGATTGTGCAGCTATCTGCTGAGTTAGGGTTAGCTTCTTTACTTGTTTATGGAGTATACATTCCTCACATAGATCAGATTATATATCTACCTTGCTTAAAACACCACCTTAGCTAGTTGCCCATACCCTGTGGGTGGGTTATTACAGATATGAAGGAATAGGAATGTATACAGAGGTGAGTGGAGTGTTACATATATGAAATGAATACAAATGCATGAATACAGTTGTTGGTACATCGATACACCTATGAAGGACACTTCGCTGTTGGCAGAGAACACACCCATGATATAAATATGAGATATTCATCTCAATCAAGATGTACTTATTCGAATATAGCTGTGGGCAAGGACACACACACACATCTGGAATGGTGAGATCAGGCATGCATGGAATAGTGCTGTCTGACTGTCTGTAACACTAAAGAGAATACGCGACTGAAGGACTTCCGAGACAAGCGCGGTATATGCGTTGTACTACCGCAGAAGGCGTGGAATGGACCCTCACACACGCGGGCACTCTTCTGTCAATGACTGTTACTATCTACCTATCTATAGATCTATATATATAAACATATCCATCTATTTATCTATCTGTATATAGAACTATCTATCTATCTATGTATCTATATATCTATCTATCCACTACCTATCTATCTATGTATCTATATATCTATGTATCTATAAATTTATTTATCTATCTTTAGATCTATCTATCGATCTTTAGATCTATCCATCTATCTATCTATCTATAGATCTATATATAACTAACTAACTAACTAACTATCTATATATCTATCTATCTATCTACATATCTATCTATATATCTATCTATCTATCTACATATCTATCTATCTATAGATATATAAATATATATCTAACTAACTAACTATCTATATATAGATCTATCTATCTATAGATCTATATATATATATAAATATATATCTAACTAACTAACTAACTATCTATCTATAGATCTATATATATATATAAATATCTAACTAACTAACTAACTAACTATCTATCTATATGATCAACACCGAGAAAAAGACCTGGGCCGATTGAAGCAGAGTACGTATGTGTCGGTTGATAGCAGATGAGCGAAGCACTTCAGTAGAAATGGGGTAGACACTACAAGCAACGAGGAGGCTGTACTCGCTTAACGGCTATGTTTTGAAGCTGAAAGATATTGAACATACGTACTTACGGGCATACATTCGCCTCGCAGCTAACTTTACGTACAGACATACGTGGAACATATACGTTTACGAGATAAATATATACACACTGTGCAGCCGTGTTTCCGTACAGACATATATGAAACTTGTGCGTTTACGAGATATATTTATACACGCTGTGCAGCTATGTTTTCGTACAAATAACATTGAACTTAAACGTTTACGAGACGTATATACACACACTGCACAGCTATGTTTCCGTGCATACATACATTGAACTTAAACGTTTACGAGACGTATTTACACACACTGTACAGCTATGTTTCCATGCATACATACATTGAACTTAAACATTTACAAGATGTATTCACACACACTGTACAGCTATGTTTCTTGAACTTAAAAGGTTTACGAGATGTATTTACACACACTGTACAGCTATGTTTCTTGAACTTAAACATTTACGAGATGTATTTACACACTCTGTACAGCTATGTTTCTGTGCATGCATACATTGAACTTGTGCAGTTGGGTGTATCTCTGCGACCCCATATTCTTTAGCATGTGCCCCTCATCGCAGATCATCACAGAGAACTTCTGCTTAGCCAGGAATGACCGGTCTGAAGCGGTGCCTACGTTGTTATACCTGAAACAGCAATGGATAAGATCAAATCAGTGTACGGATGTGACTGGTTAAAAGTTATAATTAGTAAAACTTTAAAAAATCAATACTCGCGAGTGAAAGTTCATGAAACATATTTGGATTGGTACAGAACTGCTTGGTCAGGACAGACCTGTCGGAGGCCGTTGCTGTTATTAGAGGTTATCTCTGAGGAACAATGAGTGAAATTCAAGCAAGTGCTCAAGAAATTTTTTACCGATCCTAAATTGCTATATAAAAAAAGTGTACACCAATAGCCCAAAAGCGAACAGCAAGACACATACGTTGTGAGTAACACCGCGTGTTTGGTCTTCTTTTGACGAACAGCGGCTCTGATTTCCTGTCTACTGGCCTGCGGACCAGTATACTGGAGCACAGTCATGTTGGGCGCCCATTTTTCGAATTCTCGAGCCTAAATTTGGGTCAAGTAGATGAGGAGTACGCAGAATAGTGAGAAATACTAAGCCACTAATAAGCATACCAACAGAAAGGTAGCTTGGAATGCATTTATCGGTTTATAGGCCCTGATTCTAGCCAAGCAAAAGCAAACTAAAGGCTACGCAGTTCATTAACTGGGAGAAATGCCTATAGCCAGCGCTCATGAAAGCTCGCAGAGTATATTTTTAAAATTCGCACCAATGAGAACTGAGCAAGTGTATTCAAACGAGATAGCGCTAAAAGCCTACGACACAGAACGAATTTGCTCAAGGACGATTGATTGTACTCGATTGTTGTTCCAGAAATGCAACAAATACAGTCATCAGGTCTAACAAGCAAAGTGATATTAGATCTAACAATTGACATACTAAGGTGCAATATAACATACTAGATTTAATAATAAACAAGGACATATCTAACCATTAACACACCAGATCTAACAATCAACATACTAGATCTAACAATAAGCATACCAGATCTAATAATAACAAGGACATCTATAACAATAAACATACCAGATCTAACAATAAGCATACCAGATCTAATAATAAACAAGACCCACATCTAACAATTAACACACCAGACCTGCCAATAAACACACCAGATCCAACGATTTGCATGGAAGATCTAACAGCAAGATTTAACAATTAACATACACCTCTGGGATTGGACTGTACTTATACTTATCGCTCTAACAGCAAGATTTAACAATTAACATACACCTCTGGGATTGGACTGTACTTCTGGTTATCGCTTGTTACTCGCTAAACCCCTCCAAAACCGAGTTTTTCCAAATACATTACAACCTGCCAAAAAACCCCTCAAAACTAAAAAAAAAACTCACCCAATTGGCTATCGTTGAAGCGGGGCAAATGACGCAATGGGCGCCATACAATCCTTGTTCAATTTCGGTGACGTAAGCCAAGTAAGCTATTGCTTGGATGGTCTTACCGAGACCCTGTATAGTGTCATGCGTGTTATGTGTATACACAGTATGTGAGTATCATGTGTATAATGTGTATACACAGTATGTGAGTATCATGCGTGTTATGTGTATACACAGTATGTGAGTGCGAGTATTGCCTTGACATAGCCAAGTAAGCGATTGAGGCCCTGTATAGTGTCATGCGTGTTATGTGTATACACAGTATGTGAGTATCATGCGTGTTATGTGTATACACAGTGTGGGAGTATCATGCGTGCTATGTGTATACGCAGTATGTGAGTATCATGCGTGTTATGCGTATACACAGTATGTGAGTACGAGTATTGTATTGATATGTTCTATAGTGTTGCACCCAGTACATCACGTGGCATGACTTTAAGGTGTGTGGTGGTATCCCCAGGGCACCGGTACATGCTTACTCAGAACTACGACTATCACAACCCACATGTGTACAAATGTATTGGCATAGCCACTACAGCGGGTAACGGAGAAATAGGGCTCGATTCAAGAGAGACGGCATCGACATATTGTGCATAGTACCCGTCAGATACACAGAAAGGGGGGTGATCAGCAATCACTAGAACTCGAGTTTGGGGGTTTAGGGTATAGGGTTTTAGCTATCATTAGGGTTTAGGGTTTAGGACTCGATGTGTGTACAACATCCAGTACAACGCACCCGTCCACAGAAACCGGGAACGTGGGTAATAAAGTGTGACGATTGGCCACAAAGCGCCATGCACGTACACCAAACCCTAAACGTTCAAACCCTAAAGCAGATTCCATTGCGTGACGGAAACCGTTCAAATGTATTGGCAAGAGTTGCGCCAAGCCACCGACCCGTACCATTTCATCGGCTAGGATACCCCCCACTTTATTCTCGTAGATCAGCGACAGCCACTTAAGCCCCACCAACTGATACGACTTCAACGTCCCCGTCAAGCACGACGGTTGTGCATTGCTGTAGGGTTTTGCGGTTTAAAAATGTAGGGTCTTTAGTATTCAGCGTTCAAGGGTTGTGTGAACTGCTGTAGGGTTTTTGAGTTTGTAGGGGTTTGAGTTTAGCGTTGGTTTGTTGAAATGAAACAAGAAACGATCGGCCAACGACTATACATACACACCACATACAAACTTGGTAAGCACGTCGGCTGTGTAATTACTGCAGGGGTTCATTTAGAGTTTAAAAGTAGGGCTCGATTATTTTAGGGTCCTAGGGTTTAAGCGTTGAGGTTTTTAGGGTTTAGGGTTTAAGCGATGATTTTTGGGATTGGCGGTGCAGAAATGGGGCACGAAGAGTATAAACAAGGCGTTAGATACGCGACATAGGTTGTTTGCTGAATATCCGTCATTATACATTTGCGACAAACTATATATGTACAGATAATAGTCGGTTGAATTTGCGACACACTCTGTATGTACAGTTAAAATTTGCGACAAACTATGTGTGTACAGTGAACAGTCAATTGAAATTGCGACAAACGATGTATGTACAGTTAACAGTCAATTGAAACTTGCGACAAACTATGTATGTAGAGTTAACAGTCAATTGAAATTTGCGACAAACTATGTATGTATAGTTAACAGTCAATTACAATTTGCGATAAACTATGAATGATTTGCGACATACTCTGTTTCTGTTTGGTCGGTATCTTCGTTTACGGTTATTTTCTGTCGCATGACCTTTGTGATCTTTTCACAACCCGCCATAAGCCGATCCACTTCCTAACGGGGTTTAAAATTGTCGTTGCAAATTTTAAGATTACGGATACAAACCGCATAACCATATATACCCTTATACACCACTTCCTAACGGGGTTTAGAATAGTCGTATGCAAATTTTAAGATTACGTATACAAACCGCATAACCATATATACTCTTATAAACCACTCCCTAACGGGGTTAAAATTGTCGTATGCAATTTTGAGATTATCGTATACAGACCGCACAACCATATATTCCCATATACACCTTCATATGATGAATCTATGCATACTAAGCTAGCATTGGTAACAAGGGGCAGAACGCACACCAAGTACCTGATCTAGCCATTGCAGTACCGAGCTATACGGCGTGAGCCCGAATGGGCCACATTATCAAAAAAAAACGGGGCCAAGGTCAGAAACCCAGGGTTAGGTTTTGACATTACTGCAAGATTCGGGTCGGACTCGGATTTTTCAGCACCAGGATGACCCAACACACAACACATGACACACCTTGCCATTTACGACGCAGGATTTACGTCATTTTGTACCAATACAGACAGGATTTGCGACATTCATGACAACGCAGTCAGGGTTTAGGACATTTGCAACGACAAACATGATTTACGGCATCGCAACAATTTCAAACCGAACGACTTACCGCCAATTCATTCAGCAGTTCTTGACAACTCAGAATCGCGTTGACTGTTACGCCCTTAGTGCTATCGAACTTCTGGTACTGTGGTGAACGAGCAAAATAAATAAATAAATAGAATAAGCAAAATAGCAGAGAAACAGAATAAGCAAAATAGTAAATAAATAGAATAAGCAAAAGAGTAGATAAACAGAATATGCAAAATAGCATTTAAATAGAACAGGCAAAATAGTAGATAAACAGAATAAGCAAAATAGTAGATAAACAGAATATGCAAAATAGTAGATAAATAGAACAGGCAAAATAGTAGATAAACAGAATAAGCAGAATAGTAGATAAACAGAATATGCAAAATAGTATTTAAATAGAATAAGCAAAATAGTAGATAAATAGAATAGGCAAAATAGTAGATAAACAGAATAAGCAAAATAGTATTTAAATAGAATAAGCAAAATAGTTAATAGATAGAATAAGCAAAATAGTAAATAAACAATAGATTTAGATTGACATGATATGTATCAGGACATGATATGTATCAGAACATAATCATGCCCACTGAGTGAGATCAAGTAATAAGAACACGTTGAGATAAAGTTAGATCAGAATATCATGCTACCCAATGCATCCAGAATTAGTATCAGAAATACGTTGAGATAAAGTTAGATCAGAATATCATCCTAGCCATTGCATCCAGAATAAGTATCAAAAACACGATGAGATAAAGTGGTATCCGAATAGTTTCCAACGTGTGCCACACATAGTTCATAGCATAAGAGTAGTGTTAGCAACAGAACCGACTAGTCTGTCCAAGCTTCCCAATAATAGGTGAAGGGATACACCTACTTGTATGCAGTTGGTTAGTGTCGATTTAGCGGTATGTTAGTGTCAGCAACGCCACAGAGCTGCCATACGGGTCCTAATAACAACCCAGATAGCATAGCAACAACACACTCACTAGTAAACATAGCACCAGGACGTTACAGCGGACTGCGTGGACGCTACAAAGCCTATCCATGAGCAGTGACTATCGTACTACATATATCGCCAAGTGTTTCCGTTTGTATTATGGGCCTATAGAGGTACATGTGAGGTATTGTTACCGTAATTAACGGTTATACTTCCACTATATATATATATATATACTTACCATATCATCGTAGCTTTCAAACGGTCTTAAACTCATAGCCACCTCTACCCCTCGGGCACCAAGCCCTGGTAACCGACACAGTTGAGAATGTGTGCACCCGCGAAACATGTCTAATACCTGCGATCACAGAATAAATTGTAAATTATGAGAAAAATGATCTATACAACTATAGGTTATATGTACATTATAAGCAATCTATTGTGTAATTTGTACAAGACGGCTATCAGATATATATATATACACATATATATATGTATGTGTGTATATATTCATATACATATACAAATACACATACATATATATTTATATATATATATATGTGTGTGTGTGTTTACATGTATTCCATACGCGCATCTATACGAGTGCCGCGCATACAATCACGCACATCTCATACATTCACTTCCATTCATACACGTCTCGCTCATACTCTTTGGCGGTCCACTGCTTCGAAAGGATCGCCTTCGTCGTCTTCGGAGTCATATGAGTCATGCCGCCTCCTGGGCGGGGGCTTCGTGGCTTTCTCTGTGATAGGTTGTGACAGGTAGGTGAGCTACTACTCCGCCTGTGACACTTTGTGCTATAAATAGATCCGAGCAGGTTAGAGCGGGCGGGGCTTTGAGAGGTTGTGAAAAGTAGGTAGACTAGTACTCCTCTAGTGACAACTTGGGCTATAAATAGCTTTCCGTGAATTATGACGGTATGCACTTACTTATGACTGTTGTACTGGAATGTACCTTAATTGGATGCGATACAATAACGCTTCATAGCAAACAAATGGAAAACGCAGACGAATTTGACACACACACACGGCAGATGTGTCTTCATTTGTTACTGGGCATCCCCAACAGAATACAACCTGTCCACAAACAAGTACATATAGCGTCACGGAATAGTTAGAACCTGGTATATAGCTATACATGTATTTATATACACAACAGTTCACACCAAACTCTAACCTTTATTAGCACACACATATAGTACCACACACATTCCCCGCCGCGCACACATACTCGGTCTAAGATGAGGCATATATATATATATATATATATATATATATAATAATATATAATATATAATAATATGTGT